TTTAATAATCACCAACATAACAAAATGCAAAAGTCGTGATTATAAACGAACTTTTAAAATGGAAACTTACGAAAAAACTGACTGGTTGTGCGGTTGTGATGTTAGTAATAGTCTTTACTGTTTTCCCTGTTTGTTATTTGGAAGCGATGAAGCATCAGAATGGACAAAATCCGGCGTTAAAGATTTAGTACATTTATCCGAAAAAATTAAAAAACATCAAAACTCAAAATCACATCTTACTCTTATCTTTCAATACAAAACGTGTCTGTGAGATTGAAAACTATAAAACATTTATGTATAAAAACAATTGTTAGACCAGGACGATGTACTCAGTGAGGTAAGTTACTTTGTTACTTAATTTCTAGTTTATTGATATAAGATCCTTCAATTTCCACGATTTGATAGACCGAAAAAAGTATTAAATTGAGCTTAGTTGGTTGTTTGGTAGGGTAGATATGAAATCCCTTAACAATATTTTTAATTATTGGTAGGTAAACACATCACATAACTCATACGATCACTTACAATAAATTATTTTTTTAAAGGCCTAAAATAAACACTTCTGGGCGTGGCACCCCGAAAAATTTCGCGCCTCCGGCGGGCATCCCCCTTTCGGCATTTATTATGAATTACAAATTATGTGCACCCCCAATATGTTATACCACGAGCCGCCACTGGTCCTTTGTGCGTGAAAACTGAAAACCGCTGAATGAAAATGCTTCACTTTCAGTTTCATGATAGGTTTGTTCGGACTTAGTTCAGAATCAGTTCTGAATTGAGCTGCGCATGCGCATTTGTTTATTTATTCTCGGTATGAACAAATGCGTGAGCGCAGTTCAATTCAGAACTGATTCTGAACTAAGTGATTCTATGACTAAAGAATAAATAATCCTATACCTATATCTAATTTATGGCAACAAAAACTAACGCAAATGAGTACCTAAATTGAGCATAAAAACACAGCATAAAAATAAATACGGCGCATAATGGTGGAGCGCCTATTCAATATTTTGGTTATCTCTAATGCATAATGGTGGACAGAAGTGACAGATGAAAGAATCTATTACCAAAAAGTCAAATCTATTACAATTCGGCTTCAATCTATTACATTTAATTTTCGTGAGGTGGCAACGCTGGTTGCGTTGTCCGTATCGTTACGGGCCTGGCCTCGTATCCGTATCTGAAAACGTATCTCAATCTTTTGACACTATTGAGAGATCTTCCTGTCGGTTATCACTAAAATATCTTTAACAACATAAACACAGTACTTATAGATAAAAAGAAAACCTACAAATACAACTACAAAATCAATACAACACTTTTTGAGGTTAGAAAACGTTTCATCCAAAAGCTTAGACCACAGCTCACAAACATTCAGCTAGGTAACTCTTTTGGCGGGAGCGATTGACGCCGAACCTCGCGCGCATGTTTCAAGCCCCGCCTTTGGACGTAAAACACGGCACGGGCGCCCGTCAGAAGTAAAATTAGGAGCAGAGCCAATATTCAGTTAAGAAGAAGAAGAAGTAAAATTAATTTATTATGCTCGTGATTTTCGAGGTGTTACCATTGGCGTAGTTTCTTTTCTTGTGTGACTTATTATATGGAGAAATCAATAATAGATTCAATTTATGAATAAACGAAGAATTAGTATTTACGTAGAAGTAGTAGTGATTAATAATATGTGCCCAACATAATTATCAAAGACATTTTTATAGTTTTGTTAATTACAACTACATATTGTAATATAATGTAGAATAAAAATAATATTTATTACATATGTATTTTTTGGTGTTTTTTTTTTCATGCTTTTGTGAGTATAACTAAGTTAAGTAAGTTTCTGAACAGTCTACCAGTAAAATAAATCCGGAAGTTTAATAATAGCCTCATTAATAATTATCTCTTAAAAAGGTTGGCAGGTTAAACATTATTAGAAAGTGTTCAATTTATTAAATAAAGTAAAGCCCCCATTTATTATTACCCGTTTTAATTATTTTTAATTATATCGATTAAATTATTTTATAACACATTAAACAAACTAATAATACGACTCTGTTCGGACTCTGTCTAAAGAATGGAAATATTTTTAATCCGACCCCGACTTTTAATTCCGGCGAGAGAGAGACAGCAAGCGTCGGCCTATAATTTTTCAGATTCACCAAACATGCGGAGCGGGCGACGAGTGATCTAGCTGAATGTTGTTATAGTAAGCTGTGCTTAGACCAAGGATCCAAGGATACGATCGTTTACGTAATGTATGGCCATGCTAAAAGGACTTTTAGGCGGTCAACGTAAGTCGATGAGTTTACGGATGCGGATACGGATACGTAAAAAAATTTAGGGTTTGCTTAAAGTGTCTACCAAGAATCTTGGTTAACTTACGGAACGTCGCCTTAATAGCAAATTCCATTGGTAGAACCAGTGTAGAAAAAAAAAACTTTTATCTCATTCTTATACAAGCTTGTAGAATGGAGGCTGCCAGTTTTTTTATACAAACAAAGTAATAATACAGGGAACCGTCAAATGTGGCGTTCGATCAAAGGATGATACACAACTACAGGATTGCTTATCGGCCTCGTTTTTGGTAATCGCGGCGCCGCCATATTGGTGTATCACAACTTCCGATGTCATAACAGAACGACGAGAAATAACATGCTGATTACGTCACAACCGGTGATTTTGCGTTGTGGGGAATTTGTTTCACACGGGTCTTATGAGGATAGGCTATCCTGTGGTAGTAATAGTATGTATATCATCCTTGGCGTTCTATTTCTAGGCTGTCCTATCTTACTCCTCTCCCCATTAAAAGCAATAAGTGCAGGTTGAATATGAACTAAACAGTTTGGTACAAACTGCACCCCACAAACGAACGCTTGTCAGCTCATTGCCATAATAATAGTTGTATTATTCCTTTCAAGAGTTTAGAACACTTAAGCTACTCGCTCCGGTGTTAGTCGACCCCGATTTGAAAGGAACCAGATGTGCTGGCTTTCGTGCATTTGATTCATTTGCATGGTTGAGTTCGGGCTTGAGCACTTTAGGTGGAACAAAAACATTTCAAAAGGAGTAAGCGCGTAACGCCCCGGAGTTATTCCGGAGCTCTTCCTAGGTGTGAAAGGAATAGCGAGTAGCTCTAGTGTTCTAAGCCCGGTAATTATAGACGGGTGCTTAACTCATTAGTTGTATTCGTTTCAAGAGTTTGAAACACTCGAGCTACTTGCTCCGGTGTTCAGTCGCCCCCGATTTGCAGGGAACAGATGCGTGGTGCAACAAACAACTTTTCGAAAGGAATAGGCGCGTGAAGCCCCGGAGCTGTTCCAGAGCTCCTCCAGGTGTGAAAGGAATACAACTATTAAGCTCCGATTTTTGACAGTTGTGACTGTGAGCACCGTTCCGTGCTGTTTGCAAATGCAAATATGGCGTCAAGTCGTACTTGAGCCAAGACGCAACCTTGAGCATGGACTATAAATACGGGCCTAAACTTTTGAAAGAAATACAACTAATACAAATGAACGTCATAAAGCAGGAAGCAGGAAGTGATGCTCCGAACAGCACAAACAAACAAACGCGAAGTCCATTTGTAGAATCAGTGAAAAAAAAGTATTCTTATCTCATCCTTATATTTTATATGCTGTTAGAAAAAGATACACACTCGGTGTGCATTGATTCACAAATGAAAATTTCCGTCAAAAAAAATTGATCGGTGCACGGTGCAGGGCTGCATTTACAAATATTTTTCACAATAGTTGTATTCCTTTCAAGAGTTTGAAACACTCGAGCTACTCGCTCCGGTGTTTAGTAGCCCCCGATTTGCAGGGAACAAATGCGTAGTGCAACAAACACTTTTCGAAAGGAATAAGCGCGTGAAGCCCCGGAGCTGTTCCGGAGCTCCTCCTAGGTGTGAAAGGAATACAACTAATAGATGCCCGGGCGCACTCTGAGCGCGCTCCGTGCGCGCTCCAGGCTCCAGCGTCGGATAACCCGGTAAAATTACACCAGCGTTCACAATCGGCTAGGTAAAATTTGCTCGACATGCGCAATAGTTTCATGTTTTTGTTTTTTTTATTCTGATACCATACACTTGGTTGGGGCGTTTCTTAACCCAGTTAAGTCACTCCAACTACCCGAGTAAAATTTACGGCTATGTTCCGATATCAACTGCCAGTATTGGATTAAAGCTACATCCTCAATCAATCTGGTAGCGAAGTGGCACTTTGGCACGCGTGCTGGAAAATTTATACCCATCCTCAATGCTGTCAATTTTCAGTCTGCTGTGCGTGTAGTACGGTCACATACCGTGCATTCACCGTGCGTTCGTTATTTTGGTCTGAGTTCTCCGAGCTTGACTTTACCGTTCGTTTATTCAAAAAGTGTACTCGGTGTATCCTCATTCGCGTTCGTTTAATAAAATTTCTGGCACTTTTATACAGCGTTCAACTGCTCTGTTCGCTCGCTGGTCACGTGATTACGGCTCCGCTCTGCACGCTCTGCTCTTCGAGCAAAATACCGAACGCAAGGTCAGTATTTTGATCCGAGTTCTCTGAGCATAAATTTACCGTTCGTTTATTCAAAAAGTGTACTCGGTGCAGGCTCATTCACGTTCGTTTAATAAAATTTCGAACCCTCTGATACAGCGTTTAACTGCTCTGTGCGCTCGCTGGTCACGTGATTACTGCTCCACTCTGCTCTTTGAGCAAAATACCGAATGCAAGGATGACCTAAATCACAGCCTCTTTTCCTAGCTTGCGTGCTGAAGTGCCACTTCGCTACTGAATTGATTGAGGATGAGCCTTTACTGTACTGATTTTACTCATTTGTTGTTCCGATTTCAACAGCGTACTCTGGTGGTCATTCAGTACTGAATCGACTGAATTCAGTGTACTGAAAATAATATCGGAACGGTGTCCAGTAAATTCAGTACTGACAGTTGATATCGGAACATAGGCTCTGTCTTCATTTTTTCGGGGGCTCAATTAATACAATCTCTTTCTCTCTCATCTCGGTTTATAAGCATATTGTAAAAAAAACTTCCTTCGTGCTAAACAAGGCGCAAAAATAACATAAAACTCATTTCCCGCCTTTTTTCCAACCGTCATTTTGTGGATCGACGCCATTTCCTTCAATTCCTCCATTCTTTCTCTGGCTGTCGTCGCTACGGGTTCGTTTTTTTTTTCGAATAATTAAATTTAGCAAAGATGTCTGGACGTGGAAAGGGTGGAAAAGCGAAGGCCAAGGCAAAGACTCGTTCTTCAAGGGCCGGACTACAATTTCCCGTTGGAAGAATTCACCGTCTGCTTAGGAAGGGTAAGCATAGCTTTTTTGTAGTGATTTTGGGGGCCCCATCAATTTTTTTCGATTGAATGTATTATTAACAGCTGGGGCTCCATAGTTTAGAATTGAATCTTGAACTCTTGGTAAATCTTGTCCATCAGCATCTTTTTGACTTTAGGTCTAAAAGGGGCTCAATTTCCTCTGGCTAACCCTTACATCTTGTCTCTGTTAAAGTCTTTAGCATTTCAAACGATCAAACCCCATCTCCTTGAGGTCCTTGATCCCTAATCTCAGTAGGCCCTGTTTAGGGTTTCTCTGACTAACAGGTTTTTTAGACTGTCTGAGAGACCTCCGATAGCGACAGATTTAGGTGCTCCATTTTCACATACAAATATCCAAGAGGGTTGACTTATTGATTTTAAGTAGAATAAATGGAAATTTACCTGGTTCCTGGGAATAATAAATGGAAAATTCAGTTTTCCTTGCTACCATAAAATGTACTTATCCATTTTCGCTACTCAAGTCGATGTTATATATTTTTATCTTTCTGATCCTTGTGTGGAAAAATCATCAACATCTCAAGTTCTTTTTATTAGATTATGTCCTTCAGCCACCTGAAGTCAGGTTCTGTTGATTAATCCTTTAGTGAAATCAACTTGCAACTTGCAAATGTGGCATTCTCTCTATTGATGTCCGGTCTCTATTGATTTTGGAAAAGAGAGAAGACAACAAGTGCCATAACGATAGGGATAACGATCTCTATCCGTTACAGAATCCCAACCCAGGCACCCTATTTCTGTCAAAGTTCCTATATGAAATCCCCAGGAGCCACTTGTAAATTTTCCTTCGCTCTACTAAAATCGATGTATATACCTTTCGACCCTCTTTGGAATCTTGTAAGCAAAAATGGGGCTCCTAAATCCATGGGCGCCGCTAGCCAGCGGGACAGTCCCTGTACATGCGCCACCAATGTAAATTTTCGCAAATGTGAAAGTCATTTTTATGTATGTATAAAATGTATGCTCTTTTGTGGATTTCTATTGACATATGTTTTAGTGTTCTATATTTTATATAAAAAAAAATTGAGAAAATTTTTGGATTAATTTTTTTCTTTTCTATACACAGACGCGTTTCGACCTATCAGGTCTCGTCAGTATGGCTAGGAAAGCAAAGAAAACCAATCCAAGTTTAGTGCCTGTAGGCAAAATAGTGGATAATAGGAGAAAACTTGTTTTCCCTATTCTGGGTGTTTCCAACTATCTGATTTTTAGTCGGCCTTTAAGTTGGTCATCACTAAATACAGCAAAAGTGCTATTTAGTGTTGAATCCTAGCCTTAGATGGCGCCACAATCAAATTTCGCTCGTCGTATTACTTCTATTTTGCCCACAGGGACTAAACTTGGTTTGGTTTTCTTTGCCTTAATAAGTCTTAGATGGCGCCACGATCAAATTTCGCTCGTTCTATTTTGTAATAAATAAATATATTTTGATTTTGCTGTATAATTCAACTTTCTGAATCCAGGGGGGGGCGGCAAATGCCCGATTTGCCCCCCCCCCTGCCGGCGCCCATGCCTAAATCTTGTGGTTTTTATCATTCAATTCTTCTGGGAATATTTGAGAAGGCTTACTATAACAGTAGTAAAAAATTCTGTTTTTGTTTTATAGGAAACTATGCTGAACGTGTGGGTGCTGGTGCTCCAGTCTACCTAGCAGCTGTGATGGAATACTTGGCTGCTGAAGTATTGGAATTGGCTGGAAATGCCGCAAGGGACAACAAAAAGACCAGGATCATTCCTAGGTACATTTGCACAATAATAATTATTATCGATTCTCATGTGTATTTATTTTCTAGGCATCTACAACTGGCCATCAGGAATGACGAGGAATTGAATAAACTCCTCTCTGGTGTTACAATTGCTCAGGGTGGTGTACTGCCCAACATTCAAGCAGTACTTCTGCCCAAGAAGACTGGAACCACCACCACTGGAGGTAAATCTGGCAAATCCCAGTCCCAGGAATATTAATTAAGTATTTAGGGTTTATACCTTCATTTTCATGTGTTTTTTGTTTGATGTCAGAAATATTATGTTTCTGTTTGACTATAATTTAGAATTTGTTAGATTTATTTCTTGTACGGTTAGGGCCTGATTAGGGTTTCAAAGTTTCATGTTGTGACTTATGGAATAATTATTATTAGATATTGTATTCATGAATATTTTCTAAAATAAAGATTTTTTTCAGTAGATATATCGTGATCTGACATTGCTTTTTATTTAATTGATTGAAGCCGTAAAAATTATCATTTTCTTTTTTCACTAAAGAGTTTTCTAGCTGATATATCCAATCTGACAACATTGCGAGACAGCAACTTAATGAATTAGTGCAGTGGTCAATACAAACAAAACATTTTTCCAAAATGGAATTTATTTCAGAAAACTTAACTAAATCCACTGGCATTTATAGATGCCCAGACAATATAAAGAATTTCAAAATCAAGTAAATTTGTTCTAGTAATTAGACTTTTTAATGGCACTAATTCGTTTTGCAGAATAAAAATTAAAAAAGAACCAATAGAGACAAGAAACACCCAAAAACAAAATTTCCAAGAGAAAGAATTTTCATGGCAAGAAAAGTATTTGAGTAAAACACAAAAGGAATTTTATAGGGACGAAAGAAACTGTTATACGGATAGAGAAAGAGAATTTCACAGAACCATTCTTAATGCAGAAACCTCGGAAGAAGACTGTGAGGATTTAATATTTTCTTATATTAATGAAGAAGGAACTTATCTTGAAACTGAAAATGAGGTATGTTTTTAAAACGAATTACTAAAGTTTTTCATGTCTTAAGAGTTCCATGACGTGTTCGCTCAGTGCTAAAATATCGCTGACCATATTCTAGTGAACACTTGCATAATGCTAAATTAAAACGGTCTCAATCTTGTGCATTACTTATCTATGTTGGCATTTAATTTCTGGAAAGCTACAAATGATTATTTAAACTATGATGTTGAAAGGCTATTAACGAACTGAGATACTAGCAAATGTATATCAAGTAAAATTTAACGTTGTTGTTAACCAGCCAGAAACAACTCCAGCCCTTGGCCTTGGAGGGAGAATTACACTGGTCTGATCTTTCCTTCCATGCTAGTGTGAAATTGTAACAATTCTTTTCAAATATAGTGACCACATTGATTTCCTTGGTAAAAAATTGACCCACTATGCTAGGGATACAACATTCCCTAGTTAGTTCTTTACACATCCATGAAGTTCAATGATAATGTCTGTTTATTTCATGCGTTGTATCTGGATACTAAGTGTATTGGATTAATAATTTCAATAATTCGTTATTAACGGACCAGCCAGTATCACTGGCGTAGCCAGGGGGGGGGCAAGGGGGCATATGCCCCCCCCCCCCAACAGTCCCAAAAATAGCGTATAGAAACCTGAAAAAGGGGCGTGGCACTCAAAAATTTCGCGCCTGCGGCGCTTTGCTTCCGGCAGCGGTCGCGGTAGGGCCGCAAGAGACGCTTCCTGCAGATTTGCCCCCCCCCAAGACAAAATCCTGGCTACGCCACTGGCCAGTATACACTATAAATTCTAAATAACAATAACTACTGTTAGAAAAATTTTAATTAAATTAACAATTAATTAATAAAATCTAATATCTAATAGCTAAAAACTAAAAATCCTGTCGTATCATGCTCTTTAACCCCTTGAAAGATAGATTGAAGACCTCTCTTAGAAGTTGATTGGCATCTCTGCAGATTCTCGATACAGGACTAAAATAGCCATAATTGGTCTTGTGATATTATATTATCTTGAACAATTCATTCTGTCTTGTAAATCTAGCAGGTACATGAATATTTATACTTTCGAGCAGAGGTGGACAATCAATTAAATTATTTACAATTTTATACAGAAAATAAATGCCAAAATTTCTCCTGCGGATTTGTAACGTAGGAAGGTGAAGTAATACATATATACAGTGTGTCCACTTAAGTTTGCAGCATATGGGAAATTTTTTTATTATCAATTTTACGAAAAAAGTTATTCTTCATAAAAGTTTCTGCTTCTTGAACAAATACAATAACTATACAACTATTAAAACTTGCAATAGCATGTACAGGGTCACAGGGTGGTCAGAAAATAGAAAAATATACAGTTTTTTTTGGTAAAAGTAGAAAAAAAATGGCACGTTACTATTTTTTTAAACCTTTGATATTTTTTTCAGATTAAGCAAGTCATATTACAGTCAAAAGATACGTTTCGTTGTCACAAACAAACCTGCCAAATTTGAAAAAAAAATTGGAAAAGGGATTTTTGAGCTAAAAAATAGTATATTGTTGTATTAGGAGTAGAAGCTGTACTTTTTTGTGCTGAAGCAGTAGGCTTGCGAGCCGAACGTAGTGAGGCTTGCAATACTGCTGAAGCACAAAAAAGTGCTTCTACTCCGTATGCAACACGCTATTTTTTCTCCAAACGAATGGGGTAAGCTTGGGGGTAACTGAATGGTTAAGCGGCAGTAAAAGTACGAGCGGCACTAAAAGTACTTTTGCTGCCGCTCCAGCGGACTAAAAGTACTTCTACTGTCGCTGCGGTTGCCTAGTAGCATAGAAATTAAATTTCTACCACCTCGACAGGTGTTAACCCGCTGGATTTGCCTACCAGCATAGAAATTAAATTTCTAACATCTTGACAGGTGCTGACAAAGTGAGGTTTTTTCGACGTTTGGAGAAAAACGATTTTTTCTAGAACTTTGACACCGTGTATCTCAGAAACTACGCATTACCGGACACATGTTTATGGGAACTTTTTTTCTTAAAATATTGTAAGGAATCATATTCTGAAGTTACGAACCGTACTTCGGAAACACCCTGTATATTTTTCTATTTTTGACCACTTTGTACATGCTATTTCAAGTTTCAATAGTTTAGTAGTATTTTTTCAAGAAGCAGAAACTTTTATAAAAAAATTACTTTTTTTCGTAAAATTGATAATAAAAAAGTTTCCCATATGCTGATGCGAACTTAAGTGGACACATTGTATATATACAGGGTGTCCCACGACGTTTTTCCCAAGTAATAACGGAACGCGTCATCCAATATAATTGAAATTTTGAAAATCTGGGTAACTTTTTGTGCCGCTTTTACCAATGTTATCCAATTTCATCACTTTCGCTTCAATTTCGGTCAAGTAACATCAACTTTCGAATCTTAAATGTAACTCATGGATTATTATGGCATTTTTCGTTAAAAAATTGAATTACAATAATAATAATAATAATAATAATAATAATAATAACAAACTTTATTTCAAAATCATCATAACAAGTGCAACAAAGAAAGAAATGACGTCATACATACAAGTACATAGGTATAGGTACATTAAGTTAAAGGTCTCTACAAAATTCTCTTAAATTATAGGGTTCTAGGTCAACTAACAGTTTTTTGATTTCTCGTTTAAATATTTTTTGGGATTTTATTTTTTTCATATTTTCTGGCAAATCGGCAATGCCATATTTGTTAAGGCTTTAATTGTTAAAGAAAATGATAAAAAATTATACAGTGGAACATACGAGGATGCGTTCTGAAGTTATCATTTGGGAAAAACCTCGTGGGACACCCTGTATATGTATATATTTTCATTCAGAATTCCTAGCCTATAGTCAATATGTCTTAAGAATTCGCCTTTGAACCCTTTCCAGCATATACAAACCTGGTAGCTTGGGGACCAGACAGAACAAGCATATTCAATCATGAGATCTTACTACTGAATAATAAACAGTTTTTAATGCAAAAATATTGTTAAAGTATTTCAAAGTGCGGACTACAAAGCCAAGGAGTTTCAAGGCTCTGTTGCAAATATTTTCGTTATGGAGATTGAATGTAAGATCCTGATTGAAAGTTATTCCTAAGTCTTTCAACGATTTCACTCTCTCGAGTTCCAGTCGAAGCAATACGTATGGGTATATCATGACTACATGAACATGACATTATTGACATTTGAAAAATGATGTAACCTTGCATTTCTTAACATTTTTTTAGTCTAATTCTACACCAGAGGGCAAGGCAATTGAGATCTGCTTGTAGCTGTCAGTCCTTCAATGTTGAAACTAGTTTATACAATTTCAAGTCATCCGCGTATATCAATAGACGGCTGTAAAGAATGAAGTCCAAAACATCATTTTATGTAGCAATTGAACAAAAAAGGTGACAAATTTCCCACCCTGTGGAACTCCGGACAAAACATAAATTGGGGACGAAATGAAATTCTTTATTTTCACCACTTGGACCCTATCAGTCAAAAACTCTCCACCCACAACAATAAACTTCCAGCTACCCCCAACCCCTCAAGTTTTCTTATAAGAGTGGAAATATTGATCCTGTCTTATGCTTTACTAAAGTCTGTGCTGGCAGAGTCAACTTGACTACAGCCTTCCACAACTTCCAAGTCATGTTGATATTTTACTAGATTTGTTACTGTGAATCTTCTCTCCACAAATCCATGTTGGGCAACCGAAAGATCATTCCTGAGGTGAGGAGTCATTCTAGTTGTTACCAAAGAGTCAAAAATCTTTGGCATTTTGGCATAAGAGATGTTTTACTGATAAGCCTATAATTTGATACATCTGCTGGACCCCCTGACTTAAATATAGAAGTTACGTAGCACACTTTCCAACAGGTAGGAAAAATGCCAACTGACATGGACAAATTAAATAGAGAACAAATTTTCTCAGAGAGGACAAATTTTGTATTTTTCAAAAAGTGAACTGTCAAGCCATCAGGTCCACAACCCAGATTATTATTCAATTTATTGAAGACCTCCATAATTGTAAAATCACAAGAGGACAATTGTATAGTTTTAGAATAACTAAAATTAATATTCCTCTCATGGTGTTTAACATACGCAGATCTAAAATGCTGAGCAAATAAATCCACAATTTCTGTAGGATTATCAGACCTTATATCCTCATAGCATAGAACAAACACTTTGGGAACTCACAACAACTATCTCTCTTTGAATTAACATATCTCCAGAATTCCTTGCTAGATGTTAGTGCAGCATTGACAATTTCGTAAAATTCCATGACAGCCGCATTAATATCCCTAGTTGCCAATAAAAAATTCCAATTACTTGAGGCCAAATACATATTAATATCATTAAAATTAGCAAGGTTGAAGTTGTATAATACCTACTCATAATCATACTCGAGTTGATGAGATAAGTTGTGAGTCACCAATTCAAAATACAAATCTGGGTGGTGAGAATCACATTTCACAATAGGGTGCTGCACAGCAGACACATTAGCTGTAACATTACAAAAAAATAATTCTAAATACCTATTTCTTGCATTTGGGATTGTATTGATCTGGTTTAAATTGAAAAAAGCCATACAATGAAACAAACACGTTGCTTGTTCAGTGAGAACTCCAAGCAGAGCGGCACCAATATTCATCATTTGAGCAGAATGTGTCAGGGAAGTTAAAGTCACCACACACCAGAATATCACAATTATTAACCAACACCGTATCCTGTAGTATCAGTGACACAGCTTCGGCAAACGCTTCATATACTTCCAATGGAGAGGCAGGTGGAATGTATGCATTCCCAATAAGTAGCTTTTTAGATCCTAGACTTATCGAAACAAATACATGTTCAATGTTGGTTACATGTGATGATTTGCATTAAGGGGAAGTTCCTTTTCACTGCCTCTAGTACACGAACTAGTAGATTTAGATCGATCACACCTAAAAACTGTATAGTTTATTAGACCAAGTTCAGCATCACCAATAGACACGTCCAAG